TTGCTTGCTTTTTGGCTTGGATTTGAAGCTGAGCAGGTGAGCAGGTGCGCAGGTCCAAATCCTTTTGGATTTCTGCCTTGATATTCCTCTTCTGACTGCTGCAGATTAATTGCACATAAATCCGAATGTCAGGAATGCAACGAAGCTCAAACTGATTGGGGGGCCAGGGCCAGGGCCAGGGCAGCTGTCGCCGAAACATCATCCACATGCCAGCATTTGAGCCCCAAGGAACAACATGCTCATGTGCAGCAGTAAGATGGAAGTATTATACGCATTTAGCAGTTAGTGGGAGTATCATTAGAATCCACTTTAGCTGGTATATCAGTAGAATTCTCATCAGAATCAAAATCATGGTGTTTGCCTCAACAGAAACAGCATCCTGTCCGCCTCTCTGCCCTCCTGCCTGCCTGTCTGCTGGTGGGGCATCATCATTCTGTTGCTCCTGCTGCTGCTGCTGCACTAAATGTCCCGACATGAATGACATGCAGATTCACTTAACTCAAATGCCTGTCTCCTGATGTCAACCCATCTGTGTGTGGTGGTTGGGGGCTACGCGTTGGCAAGGCTTTGGAGCAACTAATTAGATTCCAGGAACAGAAAGGCAAGGCACGGCACGGCACTCCTCTCTGCTCTGCCCTTTTCCTTCTAACTTAATTTACTATGCAATTCTACAGCTGCAATCTCTGCCTGATGGTGACCTTTCTGTTGCTCCACAGATGGGGTGCTCCCCCTCTCCCGCTCTCTCCCTGCTTGTTGTTGTCATTTGTGGAAATTAATTTTATCATAATTTAGTTGGGGGATTTTGCATTTGCGGTTTTGATTTTGCGGTTGGTCGACCTTTAAGGCACACGCAACCACAAACCCTTTTCAAATCAACAGAAATGCACAGAAAAATGTTAATTGGCAGAGGAAATTACTGGATGGGTGACTGGGTGGCACATGTGTGGTTGGTGGCATTTTATAGTGTGTTGGGGGAGCACCACAGTGGGTAACTGTGCCACATAATTAACCATAATATTTGTGCACATGCATCGCCAGCTACAGACAGGCACACGAATACGTGTGGCAGTCCCAAAGGCAGTGCGCCAGAGTGCTGCCAACTTGCCATAAAACAACATCAATGTGTGTGTTTGCTCTCCCGAGAGGATACAGATGGATGTTTATGCGGGTTATGTATGGCAAAAGCATCAGGGGCACATAAGGTAATCATTTAAATTGACAGCTGAAGGATTATTTAGGGGAAAAGCCAGTGGCTTGAATTAGATTTATGGATAGTACGAGATGGAAATGGAGTGCTATGAGTGGGCAGAGCTGTGCTGACACTCTTTTTATATACATTTTGCTCAGATATTAGTAATCCAAGAGATATATAGTAGAGAACTGAGCTGCCAACTGATTTCAAATGGAATTCCACTTAAACAGAGTATCCAAATGGAGCTGTCAACTTGTGTTAACTTTGAATAACTGGAAGGAAACAAGTTGCCAAGAAATGCATGTACCCAAAAATGTGGAAATTGTAATTTATTCCACCTTTCTTTTACGATTTTTTAAGTTCCTGCTGCAGTTGGCAGACCCTTTATTTTATTTCACCTTTTATGATCGTTTTTAATGTGTCATTTATTTTATAATCCCCCAAACTTCAGTCATATATTTTGCACTAATTGCTACGCTCAACTGCAGTTGCTCTCTCTCTCTCTCATTTTTAATTGCTTGGCTTAAGCGAACCACAAATTTATTATTCATTATGACACGTTTCCACGCAGCCCAATCCTCATCTGCATCCTTTCTGTGTTTTTGTTATTCATAAATTTGTCGCACCGCACAAACCCCAGTGGCCAGTGGTCGGTCCAGTGGATGTCAACGCGTTTTATTGGCAAATCAAAAGCGACCGCAAATGGCAGCAGCAGCAGCAGCAGCAGCAGCACACACAGAATACCTCGGTTAGCCCCGTAAGTCCTTTGCTGTGTCCCCGCACTCTCTCTTTGGTTACCTTGTCTCTGGTTTTTGGCTTGCGGTCAGTGGGTCCTACAATCCTGGGCTCCTACTCCGGTCCTCTGGTCAGCAAACAAGCGTGAAATTGCACAAAAGCCGTGACAAACTCTAAGCCACGACAACAGAAAAAAAACGACCTCGCAACCACATTCACAGCCGTAAAGGCAATCAGACTTGCGGGCCTATGAATGTTTTTTCAACCATTCTTCTTTGCACATATGGAGTTTTCCCCTTCCCCGCTGCTATCTCTTGCGTGCAGCATCAAAGTATGCAATGCGAGTCCTCGGGACTGCCTAGGGCAACATTTTGTAATTAATGCCCCATGGATGGATGATGCTTGATGTACGGTTCAAAGGCAGCAGCATACGCAGCCAGAAGAGCAGGGAGAAGATAGATTTTCCCCCTCCAATTCTTGCTAATTAAATGCACACAAATTGTGCGCTGCACACGCGCTAATGATTCAATTATCTTTATTAGTTACTTGCCTCCTTCCTGCCTTCTCTTCGTGCTCGTACAATCACGCAATGCAATACTTAATATGTGGGGCAACAAAACATCTTCGAGTGGCATGGCATTGAGGTAGCATGCCTCTTGTTTTAATTAAAACTCATTCGAAATCGAAATCGATGGGCCACGTCTGTGAGCACGTTTTAAATTTAGTGCCCGGCCATCAAAGTAAAAGAGGAGGAGGAGGTCCTTGGAGCGGCGAGCACTCACTTCATTAAAGAGTGCCGAAGCGGAGGTGGAAATTTATTTTGCATTTGCCATATCGAACGTGCTGGGGCCAAATGGAATTTGAAGTGCCAGCAAAATGGCGAGAAAATGGGTGAAAAAAAGGGTGCAGCAGCAGGCACCATGCACCATGCAGCATGCAGCATGCACCAGCTGCCGCAGCAGCTGCTGCTGTCGCACTAAAATGGATGATGGAGCAATGCCCGTCGAAATGGGTCAATCGAAATGGTGGAAACTGTTATGGGATCAAAGGGAAACAAACGATCCCCAGGGCACATGCAGACACTATTCAAACGGATATAAATAAAAGGGGTTCACGAGATGATGCGCCAGCAGGAGTTGCATCAAATATCGTATTTTCCATTGAAATTGGATGGGGAATTTTAGTGGTTTTCTTGAGCGGTTTTTCACTGACTTAAATCTAAAATGTTGCGACAAAATGGAACACTTTTAGAGGCTTCTCCTTGCAGCTTTGGAACTCTGCTATCAGAGGTTTAAATTTCAATTCAATCAAGTGGAAAATGACAGCTACTTGTTGAGGATACTTCAATTCAAAATGTATCTATTATTTTCTTGGAGTATTAACTTGGAGTGTTATCCCCAACACAAACTGACACTCCACAAACGCAATTAAGAGCCAAAAGTATACAAATAGAAGAAGATATCCCAGGGAGAGCCAATCCCAAAAGCTCTAACTGCCACCCAAAAGAGATCTTCTTTCCATTCAATTCAATTCGAAAATTGAAATTCCCCCTGAACAGCAAGCACACACAATTCCCTGCCACTTGCGTTGTGTATATTCTGCTTAAAGAAATTACTTTCTGCCACCGAGCTCTGACAATCAAGCTGACTTCCAGTTTTGTCGAGTTCAATCAATGCCTGAGAGCCAGCTACTTAGCTGCCTGCATGCCACATGCCCCCTCATGGATATCAGGAGTACTCGTGGAGAGGTGGCGTCTCTTCGAATTTATTTCATTTCTATTTCATGCAATTTTTATGCATTTTTCTATTTATAAAATTGCTGGCAGCGCACACACAAAATAATAAAAATGCCAACGAGGGGGTAACTGAACATAAAATGCAAGCAGCGGCATTTTGCAGTTTCTTCTCTCCATCTGTCTCTCGCTCCCTCTCACCCGGAGCTAGCATTTTCCTATTTTCTTCCCCCCCCCCCCTGCCACCCTGGTTACCGCTGCTGCTTGCTGCAGTGTGAAAGTGCAGCGTGAGAAAGCGAAGCAAAGTGCAAACCAAAGCTGGAAAAAATGGAAAAATGTGAAGAAAAAAACATAGAGAGAAATGGCAGGGCGCCGTGGCGTGTAAGTGTTGGTAAACGTGGTGCAAAATACCGTTACTGCCCTGGCATCTATAGCAATGGGGGAATACCCCGTTCTATTCCGGATTAGGTTCTGCTGTTGCTGCTGCTGCTGCTGTTGCTTTTGTTGTTGTTTTTAGGTCACCAATGCAGTTGTCGTTGCCAGAGGATGAGGAAGCCACTCTGCCACTCTCTGTCCCTCTCTCTCTCTCTCTTCCTTTTGGCTCTTTTCTTGTTGCTTGTTTAACAAGTTCGAGTGCATCGCATTTGTGAAAATTTAAAAAGGCATCCTAAAAGGCAGACCCCCTAGTAGAGCGGGGTGTACCAGGGGATACAGCTAGAATGTGTCACAAAAAAAAAAAACCAGGAGTGAACTTTTCTGAGGCTGTCGCTGACACCAAAATGCACAAAAGGCACAACAGCCAAACGAGCTAAGAATGTAAGAGGTTTTGGGTGGAGACAAACGACTGAATGATACCCTGGAATGACAGTAAATAAAGTTGTACTCCATGAAGACAAAAGTGCTTACAAAGCAATACTCTCAACTGAACACTTTCAACTTCTACTTTACACTTGCTCAAAATAGTTATCTACAAATTATTATCTCCATCATGCACACCCCACAGATACCCCTTGAAAAAGTTTACTCAACAATGTGTAAAAGGGTTTTTGGGAACAAGGGAATGTTAAAGCAGGAAAAGGCAGCAGGCAGCAGGCAGAAGGCAGAAGGAGCTGCTGTTATTGCTGCTGCATGGGGTAGTGCAGTCGAGTAAAACAAAACGAACAGCAAGCAGCAAACATATTTGACATTTGCATACGAAAAGTGTCAAAAGAAGCAAGAAGCTATATAAACTAAAACCATACAAAAGAACACACACATGCACATACATAGATATAAAACTTCCGCAATGCTTTCCCACTCTTATCACGTTCTTTGCTCTCTCTCTTTTCCGGCACACCACAGGAACGCTACAAGGCTGACATTAGTCTGGCCATACAGCTGCTGCAATGCAAACCGGATAGTTTTGTGGCCCAAAAGGTGTCATCGGTGAGTGTCTGCCCCACAGCCCAGTAAACCCACCCCTTGCATAATATATGTGAATATTTATGTACATTTGCAGCTACCCATTGATATTCAAGCCAAGGTATCGGCCTATATGCGACTGGAGACCAATTCTCATTCCGATTCCGAGTGCAGTAATAGTGGTGTTGGCGTGGCCACCACAGCTTCCTATAAAGTGCTTCCGGCCTCCGACTCACCACCGCCAGCTGCCTGCCCCTTTCCGCCCACAGCGATGGTCTACTCGATGCGGGGACTTGGTAGGTGTTAGTAGACCATGCCTTGAACCTTATGATTTTACCCTTAACACATTTATATTTTTTGTTGATTTTATTTCATTTATTTTACGCACATTTTTCAGAGCGAAGAAAATTGCTGTGAACTGATAATGATTTTGTGGCAATCAGCTGGGAAATAAGAGTTATTCCATGCATTTTCCTACACATAAATGGAAGCAAATTCATGCATTGTTCAGCTGAGAAATAAGAAATATTTCTGCATACATCCACAGAGAAAAGAGATAGAATGAGATTGCTTCATTTGATTTGTGCATCATAATTGGATCCCTTCCACATCATTGTGCACTCTGTGTGTGGTGTGCATTGGCATTCATTATGCCTTTTGGTTATTGTTCATATACATTAATTGCCAGCAATTTCATTCAATTTTCTGGTCTGTGTGTGTGTGTTTGTGTTTGTTTGCTATTACTGTTTTTGTTGCTGTCACAATTTCCATTTCAAATTGCCATAAAATAACTTTCCGCCATGTGTTGGTAAGAGTGGAAGGAAAAGGGTACTTGTAGAGAGAGTTGGGAGGCCCCTTGAGAACCCTTAAGGACTTACTTCAGACAGAAGACTGTCCAAGTATTAAGGGAATCGAAGCAATATTTAATTCTGATAATTCTGTCTTCCATTTTTGACTAAAAAATCTATGAAAATCTTTTGCCTTCTGGTGATTATTAAGCCCTTCATATGCTTGTAGCATATTTCTCTATAATTATCATATATTATGCCTAAAAACATTCCTTCAGTCAGAGTATCTGCTGCATCGTTCTCTAAAACCACAATTTCCCTCTTCTATTTCCCGACTGCTCCAAATATTTACATATTTTCCCATGTAAACATATGAATTGTTAGAACCGGAATTGTTGCTTGCTAAAATTTTGTGCAAATTTTTGATTGTTTTATTTTGTGTGCATACTCGGGCTATGCGAAAAGTATGTTTGCTGACAGCTAAAATGTTGTACAAATTAGGCTACCAACTTGGCTGCTACCAACAAAACTCACAATTTATTTATGATTAAATGAATATTCTAATTGTTGCTACAAGGAAGTTTAGTTGGGAATAGAATTGTGGAATAAGGAGACGCCCCAACGCCAGACAGTTGCACAAGCGAATAGTGCAAAAAGAGATTCCAAGAGAATCCAACAATTATGATTCCTATTCCTTAACCTTTTTTCGTTGATTTTAAGCACCAACAAAAGTTCAAATGGCTCTACAGATGGATTGTAAAACATTTTCCAATCACCCTCAAAGAAAAACAACAACTAATTTGCCTTTAACTCATCCCCACAGATGAAACCAATGGCAATGGCAACAATCCTCAACAGCAAACAACCACAAATGGCAACGGCAACAGTAACCAAAACAACAACAACAATGCCACAAAGGACACGCTGAACAACAATAATATTAGCAACAATAATCCACACAAGTTCAACAACAATGCGAATGGTAATGGAAATCACACGACAAGTCATTCGATCAGCAATCCAAATTCCGATATGATATCCCCCACGATAATGGCCAAATTCCTGGAGGATGAACTGAAGGCCAATGAGGTGAAGCACTGCGACACGTGCGCCTGCAGCAAACAGGATCTGCAAGTGCTGGCCGATGTCTCACGTTCCTATACGGTGGCCACCCAGACGCCCCACCATCAGCAGTCGCTGCAGCTGCAGCAGGGAGGAGCGTCGACCCTCAATGAACCGCTGACCCAGCTGTGCCTGCGCTGTCACAGCAATCTGAACTCTCCCTCGCGCACGAACAGTCCCTATCTAATGAAGCTGGTCAAGTCCAGTGATTCGGTAATCTCTGAGACAAAGAGCTCCGTCTCGGATCTGAATGACATGGATAAACTGTTTGTGCCAGCGAAGAAGGATGATCTGATGGTGAATCCCATACTGGGGCATCATCGACTGTGCGAGCGTACGTCAGCCGTGACGGCCTCCACGATGATGTATCCGACCACACACCTTGGGGCCTATGCAGCGGAAAAGTATCTGCTGGAGACGAGCAATCTCGGCCAGCTGAGGAATGGCTATCAGCGGAGGTTCCTCGATGGCGGTGGCACCGCCTTGCAGTTGCTAACGAAATTTGAAGGCGGCTCGAGTGCCGCTGCAGCGCAGGAGGAGCTGGAGGATGAGTCGAGCAAGCCGCTGCTGGCGGGCATATCACAGGGAAATCTACTGGAAACCGAACAACAGCCACTGCCACAGGTGCCACAGGTGCCACAGGTGCCACAGGTGCCACAGGTGCAGGCCAGCAAGCTGGAGGATGTGTGTGAGCCGCTGCCCCTGAAGACAGTTCCTGTGTCAGCTGCAGGTGTGGCTCCCGCTGCCGCCCACTTGAAGTCCACCAACTCGGGCAGCGTGCAGAGCCTGTGGAGCAACAAGACCAGCAGCTGTGAGGGTGCCAGAATGTTTGAGACATTCAATAGGAATCTTATAAAAACCATCAAGGTTTGTCCGGGGTGTCCTTCGCCTTTATTTTCCATCAAACTAAAGTTGTTCCTTGCTTTCCTTGCAGGCGGAGAATCCCAAATATCGTGGACCACGACTGTGCGCCATGCGCATCCAACAGAATGGCCAGAGCAACATTCTCCTGGACAACTTGGAGTCCATTGAGGCCTACAAGCCAGTGATCTACAAGCGACGCGAGCGACTCCTCGATGAGGAACTCAACGATGGCAAGGACATCATCACGTCCAAGGACAGCAATGCAGCGTCTGCGGTGGAGGCATGGCAGGGCCCAACGGCGCCACACGAGCATGTGGTGCTGCAACCCGTACTAGAACCACTCGTGGAGCCACAGCTAGAGACTGAACAGGAGGAGAGCAGCCAGCCAGCAGCAGGAGAGGCAGCAGCAGGAGCCGCACCAGGAGTCAGCAGTGGCGTGGCCGTACACTCGCCCAAGCACTCGGCAAACTCCAGCTCCATGAGCGATGCCATTGACTACCAGGAGAGTGTGCTGCTGCGACGCCAGCAGCTGAGCCGCGTGGCCGAGTGGGTGCAGCACAACACGCAGCAATTGGAGCAAAGGAATCTGCAGCAGCCGCCGCTGCCAAGTGACTCCACGGCGGGCACAGAGCGGCAGTCCTCGTACTCCACGCTGGATCGCATGGATTCCATTTCGATTGAGAAGCTGTCTATGGATTCGGGCTACAAGACAACGCCCCAGCAGCTGACCAACGGCCCCACGGAGGATTCCCTCTCCCCCAAGACGGACATAACAAGCAATTCCCTGCCTGAGGCAGCCAGTGCACCGACGATGACCAAGAAGACGGAGCTGTGCACCACATACTACAGGAGAACCACCAGATCGGGATTGCCAGTGGCATACACCACCACAGCTGCAGCAGCAGCAGCGGCAGCAGCAGCAGCCGCAGCAGCAGCCAATGGCACTCCTCCTGGCGGGGATTCGCTGTCCTCTGGCTCCTCGGCGCCACTGATGTGCCCGGAACAGCCCACGTGTGATATACTCAACTATAAATACTATCCCAATGACACGGACAAGACGCGATCCGTGCAGGCGGAGCTGCACACGACCACACAGCACGTGGACATTGCCCAGATGGAGTACAATGTGAAGCAGTTCCTGCTGAAGCAGAACGAGTGGTCCATGCGGGGAGATGGTGCCACCCAGGGAGGAGGCAATGTGGTAGCCATGCCGGGTGGAGGGCGTCTGGTGCGGCACACACGTCTGATGGGACCAGGAGTGGGGGAGAGAGTGCGCATGGCCACGCCCGGCGGAGCAGTGGCTGCCCAAACAGGCGCCATGGCGCCGCACAGAACTGAAACGAATTTATAAGTAAAGCGGATAAAGGGAAGGCAGAAAGAGGAGGATAAGGAGGAGGAGCAGAAGCAGAAGCAGCAGTCAAGGCAGGAGAAGGTGAAGCAACGGCATGCCACGTGGGTGCAATCGACGTATCCAAAGAGTAAACCAAACTGTATTCTAGTCTAGTGTTTTTGCTACTTTTACGTTCATATTCTACGATCCATATCCATAATGTACATCCATATACTCGTATATGGGATCCCAGATATATAGGATACACACAATAGAAGGCTAAGCAATGTGCTAGATGTGACTTAAGTTGGGACTTAGGAGCAATGATTGATGATGACACACACTCACCAGACACAGACTACAATCTAGGAAATACTCGTATTGCTTTTCAGCTATAAGATTATCCAGTAAAAGAAAAGAACAACAAAGAACTGTTTTCGGAACAGAGAGCGAGGGATAGTTGTGGCATTTGCGGGTAACTAACTATAAGAATTTGCAACATTTAAAGCAATTTTGTGTATAAAGAAATGATAGCATGAAGAACTTACTTGATACTTCATAGTATTTCCCATGCAATTTCAATCTGTAAGTTATTTTTTAGTTAATTTTTCCATTGAGTGTAAATTTCTGTTCATATTTCAAACATTTTACACTGTAAATTCGTTGTGGTTTCTTTAACGCATTCTGAACAGATTCTATAGGAAAACTTTAAATATTTCTTAATTCTTTTTATTTACAATTTCTGACTTCTAATGTTACTTACAACCCAATTTCTATGTGTCTACGTTTCTTGCTAAAACCTTCTTAACAATTGTAACTTTCTTTCCACTCTTTTTTCCTGTCAATTTCCCAGGCAAACTTTTCCAAGTCTTCCGTTTCTATACCCTCTAAATCACTCTCTTTTCATCAACTTCCCCAAGTCCTCAAGTCTTCCCTTGAACCCAAAAATGTCTGCACTTTCGAACACCCAAAACAATGCCACAACTCTCCTCCCAAGTGTCACAACTGCAGCAGCAGCTAAACCAAAAGCAAATCTAAGACATATGATGGTTATTCCTTATAAAACGGCAAACAAAAAAAAGATAAGAAAAGAAAAGAAAGAAGAGAAATCTCATAACATTTTATGTGTCTGAATGTTAGCCCACAGTTTGAAGCCCATAAATGCTTAGGTTATCAAAGATCTATATATTATACACACAATTATGGATATATGCTCTATATATATACGATATACGATTGATATTTGATAAGCGCGTGTTATATTTTCTAGAATTTCGATTGTGCAATATTTTTTAGTAGCGTAAAAATGAATTTTTATTTTTATAAAATGCGACCAAAAACACAAAACCAAAACGAGGGGAAACCTGCTAGTTAATTTTGAGCTTTTATTTAGGATTTCTACGGAGCATTTTCTTCAGGCCTAAAAGCTTCAGCGCTATAGCAGCTATCGAGAGATATATACAAAAGAAAAACAAGAAAAAGTACTGTACCTTCTTAGCGAAAACAAAAAACACCAGACAACAACTGTACTCAATTCCTGCCCATTAGATGACCTTCATATAGAACCTATAATCCTCTGCTAAACTGCTAAATCAAAGATATATTATACAGACGGACAGACATACACACAAGCAAGCATTATAAAAACGTATCCTGAACAGACATATGATTGTAATATCCCATATATATTTACATACATGCATCTCTATATATATACATTATACATACCATTATATGTCCCATATATACACACACACACACACACATATATATATATATATATATATAATATAGAAACCAAATCATAATCGTGTATCCAACCCACAAGAAAATCAAACACCCAAAACGAAAACATTCACAAACGGCTTCAAACCAAAAATCACTCACACACTTTGTCCACTCACCCAAAAGGAATGCCTCGATATATTATACTCTATATTTATATCTGCCTATATCTACATATGTCGCCGTTTACTTTACTGAGCAAAATGCTTGAATGGAAATGCTTTAAGACGAATGTTATGTTTGGCCCAATTATAGCGTAATTTTCAACTACAACTTCTTCTGCCTGTTGAGCACTCGTATGTATGATGAAACGCTGAAATCAAAACAAAAGCTTTGGCTTAAGTTTATGAACCAATCTAATGAAAGACTTGTTGATTAAGAAAACCAAAACTGAAATTGTAATCACTGCTATACGTATCTTTCATGCTTCAGTCTTGGAAGCTGCAATCTATCAGCCTGCACTCTGTGATCCTGCAATCTTTAATCCCCTACCAACCATAACTCCCTCAATCTTTGCTCCTTTCAGCTGTGGAACTCCTGTGCTCAACCCAAAATTATATCAACATTCAATCAAAACACAATCCAATCACACTTACCCACACACATATTCCCCGCTCTTCCCTTCCCACACACAAAACTAACTTTAAGTAGAAACATTCTCCAGCTCAAAAGACAACACACAAAACCAGTGCGTAAGGTAAAGCTGCTTATAAGAAAAAGCATTCCCTTAGCTAAACAATTAATATGAAACGAAAGCAAAGACACAAAAAAATTTGAAATGCAATTTCAGCAAAAAAAAAACACAAAAACTTCAAATATAAAACAAAGAAAGAAAGAAAAAACTAGCTTAAATATTTGGGCATAAGTTTAACTCAAGCTGCGAATTTTAGTTACAATTTACCTACTTATACCGATGGTGTTATAGCGAGCGCCTCTCTCTCACTTTCACTCTCTCTCTCTTTCGGTTGAGTGTAACCAATTTTTGAACTATTGAACCACCTCAATGTGAAACAAAAACAACAAAGACAACATCAAAATAAATGAAACAAGAAAACAAATGGAAAACAATTCAAAATAAATATGAGATAATTTTTTGAATAAACATTTGAGAGCGAGTTTTAATCTGCAACAAAGCGGGTAAAGAAAATAAAATGAAATAAATTCCAGATATATTTTTGTATAGTTTATATTTTATGATTTTTATTGGGTTTGTTTTAAATATAAATTCCTGGGCAAAATATGAAATAAATAATTTGTGTTGTGGCTTTTTTGTTGCTGTTGTTGTGTTGTGTTGTGGCATGCACTTAGAAAACTAAAGAAACATTTTCCATCGTTCTCAATTTAAATCGAAAAATGTCGACGAAAATGGCGTCAGTCGTTGTGGGATCCGATTGATCCTCTCTCTCTCTCACTCTCTTGTGCTCTCCCTCTAGAGAGCCGCAGCATCGACAGCAGCTATGGGCAGCGGCTGCACGATGGTGTCGAGCAGAACCTCGCGTCCATCGCTGGCATCATCATTGACGACAATCACCTCGTTGGTGGGTATGGCCTCCTCGAACGAATCATCAACGGACTCCCCGCTGGCGCGTACCTCGTTTTGGTCCTCGGAGAACTCCGCCACCTCATCGTTTGCCGGATCGATCTTGTCATCCACCTCGGGCTTGGCCGGTGCCTCGGTCACTGGCGCTGGGGCCACCACTGCAGGCGCATTCTGTGGCCGATTGCCGCCCAGGAAGTTGATGATGCCCTGCAGCGGATTCTGATTCTGATTCTGCTGCGGTGGGGCAGGAGCGGCAGCTGCAGCTGCAGCTGTGGCATTGTTGCCACCACCAAAGATGTTGCTCACAAACTGCTGGATGGGACCTGGAGGACGGGGCGTGGTGGGGCCTGGGTTGGTCAGCCCCGTGAGTGTGCTCTGGAATTGATTGCCCAGATTGCTGGCAAACTGCTGGATGCCCTGGAAGGCCTGGGTCGTGGAGTTAACCACCGACTGGGCGGCGTTCTGCACCGCCTGCTGGGCAGAGGTGATGGCTTGTGCGGGATTCAGGAATCCGGGAATTGTCGGTGCCGGCGTGGGCTGAGCGGCCTCATCGGCTGCCAGCGGCTGGACTGCTGCCTGCTGTGCCGGCTGCTGTGGCTGGAACTGATTCAGGAACTGCCCGATGGGCGAATTCTGGATGAGCTGCTGCACAAAGTTGCCCTGGGTGGTGCTCTGCTGCTGAGTGGGCGTGGCCTGGGTGGCCTGACGCAAGTGCGGCTGGGCATGATCCCCGAGCTCAGCCAGATCTTCGACCACGGGACTGGCATCGACTTCCTCGGCGGGCACTACAACGGTGTCTTCAGCGGGCAGCGACTTGAGAATGATTTGGGCTGGCACTTCCTCAGGTTTTGGTTCCTCTTTGATGGCCGTGATCTGTTCCTCCGTGATCGCAGGTTTAATCTGCTCTTCCTTGAACTCACTTTTGATCTCCTCTACCTTGAGCTCAGGTTTGGGCTCTTCTGCTTTGATCAGTGGCTTAATTTCCTCCTCCTTGATCTCAGGCTTGATCTCCTCCGCTTTGATTACTTCCTCTTTGTTTTCCCCCTTGATCTCTTCGTCCTTGTTCAAGGCTCTGATCTCCTCGTTGGGCTTGATGGCCTCCAGCTTCTCCTGCACTTTTGGCTCTTCAACGATCGGCTTGGAGTCCTCTTTCAGTGCCTCCTCGATGATCGTCTTCAGAGCCTCCTCAATGATCGGTTTGGGCGCATCAATGATGGGAATGGCCTCCTGCTCTTGAATGATCGGCTTGACAGGCTCTGGCACAATCGGTTTGGTCTCTTCTTGTACCAAAGCCAAGGCCAAGGGCGGCTCCTTATCCTCGATGATCGTCACGGGTATATCGAGGGCCTCCTTGGGCAGCTGCAGCACACGTCCCTGGCTGGCAACCGCCAGGCAGAGTAACACCAAGGAAATGGACTTCATATTTAAGCAGCAATGGAAATATTCACTCGCGTTTCAGGTCTCTGGTACTGTACAAAAAGCAAACGTTCACTAGCGCCTCACGGCCGCAACTGTTGGAAATCTCTTTGGCCTGATGGCATTTTATACACCCGCCCCGAGTGCGACGTCAGCGGCGGCGGCGGCGGCGGCGTTGGAGTTGGCGTTGGCATCGACTGAGCCAAAGACAAATAACCTGAAGAGCGACAGAGCGACAGAGCGGCAGAGCGGCAGAGCAGAGCAGGCCCAGGCCCAGGCCCAGGCAGGAGAGGTGCAGCCAGGCAGGCAGCCAGAGGGCCAAGATCGGTGATTGGTGGTGCAAGGGCAGGGGGCATCATATCATTGCCAATGTCTTGGCCAATTCTGGTGCTTAATGTCATTGAACCCCTCTCCATAACCAACCAGAGAGGATGCTGGGCTCGAGGTTGTGTTACAAGAAAGGGTTCCGTCTCTTACAGGGCTCTTGCCTTGGCCAGAAGGGGTTTAAGAATCTGCAGACATAATTGGCCTCTCGCTTGGAGGGCTGTGGTGGGGGAACTGGCATTAAAAGGCAGCAAAAAAATCACTGAAGCAATCATCTTTCTGTGGGCATTGGAGAGTACTTAAAAGGGCTTACTTATAAGGTTTGCACAGATTTGCTAACCAAATGTTGATTGTCTCGTTAAGGAAACAAAAGAGACAGCGAGCGAGAGAGAGACATCAATGGTGAGGACTTGGAAGGAAGATAAATTCAAATGATTTGAGGTTTAAAGTTTGGTGGAAGTTTAAGGAGAAGATTTGTGGGGATTAAGAATGAACTTTGTGATGTTTAAAAGTGATTTAAAGTGTGGCTATGGGGATCAGTATATTGTTCACTTTTCTCTTTATTTAAATTATATTTTATTATAGAAAATGACAATTTGGTAGAACATTTCCTGTTTACAATCTCATGAACTTTCAGTTATAATCTTTGGTAGAATTTTGTCTAATTCCTCCACAAAATCCTCATAAATAGTATCATAAAAAAAGAGACTCCTTAATTATATTTTAATGACTGCTAAAAGATAAACTCTATGCAAATATTGCTATCGTTAGGTAGAAAACCCTTTTAGGGATCATAAAACCAATGCAGACGGTGATCGTTAGCCCAAGGAAAGCAAACAGAAAATAGAGATAAGTTTTCTGCTCTCTTTTGGGACTCCTTTCACTTCCAATTCACACCACAAACATCATTCAGAACCTTTGGTAGATCATCCAAAGAGCGACCACACGGATCCCCGAGATCTCTGCTATCTCTACGCTATCTGATCATGTTAAACCTCTACCCCTTACGCTCTACCCTACCCCCTACCCCCCCTCACCACTATGCAAACGACACAACCAACACACTTTGTGTTTTTCACTCTCATTCCTTGTTGACTCGATTTGATCGGCAGATTTTTCTTGTTTTCTCCACAAAAGAAACTCTTCGATTATATTTTTTTCCGCCTCTTTTTCCGTTTTCTGTCTTGTCTTGTGCCTTGCCTGCATTCTGCTTGAAAGTTCTTGCAGCGCTTTGGACCTTTGCTGGCTTTGGCTTTGGCTCTGTCTTTGGCTCTTTGGAAACCCGTTCCCCAGTCGCGCAGAGCCATCCTCAAGTCATCTCGAAAAAGGGGCTTTGAGAAACCTGCTCCGGCTATTTTTAGAGTCAATTAGCTTGCAACCGCTGATGCTGGCTGCTGGCTGCTGGATGGCTTGCTGGCTGCAGCATCTATCTCTAGCTCTATCTCCATAGCTGTGGGAGATGCGTTTTCACCCATTCTGGGTTAATAATTCATTAGAAATGCACACAAAAATACAATTTAACGCCCACACGGGGGCGAGATACGAGTTCTGCTGCTATGCAAATGAGGCGTGGCAGGGGGGCTGATCGTATTTAAATGTAAGTAAATGGGTCACAGCGTTTGGAAGAGAAAATAAAATGGGAAAAGTAAGACACTCCCCAGGCCAAGAGTTTTCTACAGCTGCAGCATCGTCCATGCCCTTTGGCCCCCCGCCAGGAACTCGTTCTCTGGAAGCTTCCGCCTGCAAAAAAAAGAACACAGAGAGAGCGAGAGGGAGAGAGATCGCCGTCGTCGTGCTAAGGACATTGACTTGTTTCTCTTTTTTTTTCGATTTTTTATGGTCACCCCAAAATGGATTTCCGAACAAGTTTTTCGCCCAGAGACCCAAATCTCAATGGTTTTTTTTTTGCGGGTTCTTAACGAAGTTTTTTTTATGGCTTTTCTGGGATTTCTTTTAATTGTTTTTTTCGGTCGCGTTTTTTGTCTCATTTTTTTTGCACGCGTTGGAAGATCTCATTTGCTCGAGTTTCGGCTACAAACAAATTTATGCGTTTTTGTATTATGCAATTACCAGAGACCAGTGTGTGTGTGTGTGTGTGTGTGTTATCGCACCCATCGCCGGCTCGCCTGTCGAATTAACACCTTGCGCACATAGCAGGTGGGCGACTGTGTGCGGTGCCCGCATTGGGGCGTGGCTCAACCTAAAACGGTGGCAACTTTCACTCAACAATCGTGTGGAATAATAAAGAAAAAAACAAGTAAAGTACAAAAAAAAAGGTACAATTCACATGCAAAGTGGGTGACAATCGAAGACACGGAGCGAGGGGTGGAGTGCGGAGTGGAGTGTGGGTGATAAATATCAGACGATCTCTCGTCATCCAACAATTACCTCACTTACGCGCGCACTCCGTAACACTCGCATTTGTGTGTCATTCATGAGTTGTCAAGGTCACAAATACAATATTTTTGGCAATACAAATTCCTTCAGATATGATTTATGAGTGAAATTGTGACATTTGTGAGGCGTGAAATTGTTTCGAACCACAGCAAGATCGGGATTTGGGGGGAAATAAAATCGAAAAATGTGGTTTTCACATTTATCACACCATTTATGTACACGCTTCTTTTTCTTCCAAATTCCATTTAGTTTTGAACACTTCGGCAGAAAAATCACACATTTTGCACAATTAGTGAAATATTTTGAATTTGAATTTAAATTTGAAAAAGTGCAGCCATCTGGCAGGGCAATAATGTAGCAAAGAATGCGCCATCTACCAGCTGTAGAAATGCTTTTTGCAGTGATATGGCACATCTTGCCGTTGTTTTGCATCGCATGGTGAGTCACTACAACAAGGTGGCATTGCTTTGTGTGCTGTGCCGGCAGAGTATCTTGCTCTCTCCGCTGACCTAATCCTCTCTTTGCTGACCTAATCCTCTCTGTGCTGAAAAATCATCCTATGGCAAGTAGGTAAGAAATGACGAGCTTTTCAAAGCTCCCACCTTTTTCGCACCTGTTGAAGGATTCATGTAACATGACATGAACGATTTCGTTTGTATGAAATCAACCACGGGATGAAAATCGGGGTGAAATTTACATGGGGCCACTGGAATTTTTGTGACGTATTTACCTGTTGTCGACACCCTACTTGTTGGTACAAATTTCGCACCATGAAAGCTTTTTTGCTTCGTTAAGGGAAATTGGAAGCTCTTTTCCTTTGCGAAGGGAAACAACTAATGAGACAACTAATAAATATCAAAAAAATAAAATATGGAAAATATATAGTGTATATAATTTATTTATTTATTTATTTTCAATTAAGAATTAACTGCTTATTATGGAATGAAAAGAGTAATACATATAAATTAAATATCAGTACCGGAGAGGAGGAAATGTAAAATATACAAATTTGCTAATTTAAATAATTATAATTTATAATTTGTGCAAATGTTGGTCTCGGCGCATAATGAACGCACGCGTCTTACTGTGTCCGTGTATTTGCATGTGCATGTGTGTGGGTTGCGTCAAGCAGTAAAGAAATACCAGCAAGCGACGCCTGTTAGGTTAACATAGAAATTTGCGTTAGAGTTCAAATATGTTTCTGTTATGTTTCTTCTTAGAGCGTGCTTGTTATTTTGAAATAAATTCACACAAGCGTGCGAGCAGCGCTCGCTCACACTAAAATCAAAGTGAATACAATAAAATTTTTATTTTTTACACATTCTCTTTCACTCTGCTTCGTGTAGTGTGCGGCTAAAAGGACATGTTGGCGGGAGAAGTGATGTAGGTATAGATGACAGGTGTAGAGAAAATGTAAAATGTAAAATTTAAAATCCAAAAAAAAAAGAATACAATAAGGTACACCTACTTAGTTTATAAGAAGTTAGTTAATTCATTAATTTTTTATTAATTTTAATTAATAAAATTAATATATTTATTTAATTAATAAAATTAAATTAATTAATTAAATTCACAATTTTCTCGTCCCTGAACCTAATTTAGTATTTGGAAAACAAATACTATTAAGTAACCCTCAAGCCTACACATAAAAATGCTATTGATAGGGTATTTTAGATATTATAATTCTACAAATTAAATTTGAACTGCTTTAAATTAAAATCCTAAAATGACTAAAAACGACACGTCAAACTCAGCCCTGTAACGCAATAATGAGCTTAAGCATGTTTCTAGACATGGCCGATACATCTAGCGACATATCGCGACACGCTGTTCAAAACAAACACGAACATCAGCAGGGAGCACCCTATGGCTTTGTTTTTTGTTTGCCGGGAGCACCCTGTTCCAATTGTACAAAATTCCGGTCGCATTAAAATTAAAATTATACAATAAAACGCGTAAATTTGTTGAAAAAAACATGTGCAATATGCTCCCAGCGCTGGTGTTGACCGATGAGCAGTGACGGACGGTGAGTGCACGTGCGTTTTGTGTGAAACAAATGTGTTGCAGCCGAGCAACAGCGACAACAAGAAAAGTGCGCTGCCACAGTGCAGGAGGGAGCGAGAGAGCAGCAGAAGTGCCAATAATAACAAAAAAAGAGGAGAAAATAAAGTGAAATTTGGCAGCATTTTTTTGGATCTATATGGAAATATATGTATAATACAGTGGCTAAAGAGGAAGAACAATTAAGAGAAGATTATTAACGAATAAATAATTGAGCGCTGCGTGTCCGTGTGCGTGTGAGTGTGTGTTCGTTCTGTAGTGTGCGTGCGATCTCTGCCTGCAGGCTGTTCATTGAGCCACCTCTCTCTCTCTCTCTCTCTCCCACACGTTTCGGCGATGAAATAAAAGAAGAAATTATCTTCGGTTCGAGCGCGCGTGTGTGTGTTTTTCAGTGTACCCACTCCCACTTCCCCCCTCTCCTGTGTGCTCCTTCTAACTATCATTTCCGCGACACTCTCTTTCTTATCAGCAGCAATTGCTCTACAACCAACCCACCACCCCCGCGCGTCATCCAAAAACGTGACTAATGCACTGCTCGCGTAGCCTCTCTGCTGCTGGCGCCGTGGACAACACAACAACAACATTCTACACGGCAGCAGCAGCAACATCGGCGTCGGCAGCAGCCTCGGCCAGCACAACGCCGACGTCGAACAAGACGACAACAATGGCCACAACGGGGGTAACGGCGACCACAGGGCAAGCGGCAACAAATGCTAAAGATGGTAAGTAATACTAGCTAAAAAAAAACCAGCAAAAAAAGTGACCCAGTAAGCGACAGTACCAATACATAGGCAAAGACAGATGCTAGCACAAAAGGAATAGGCAAATCAAAAGAGTGGAGAGAGAGAGAGAGGATGACTGTTAAAGTTCAAGGCGAGCATACAGTTTGAGAATCCTATGGAATGGAAGAGCAACGAAACTGTAATTGGAGCAGGTGGCTCTAAAACTAATGGAAATGAGTAAATCACTCTAAAGGTTGTTGCAGATAAAATGAAGTATTATTAATTAGTGTATATTTATTCAGATTTTTAAACAACAAAATCCAACCATTCCCCTTAAAATGTCTTTCTGGTGGCCTTTTATGGATTTCCTGCTTTGGTTTTGCGCTCTCATTAGTTTTCATATTCGAGCATATTTGTTTGCCGTGCACACACAGATTAACGACTAATCCATCAAAAGCTAAATCTTTTGCTTTGTTCTGCCACTAAAACCAAATCCCCACCAACGCGCAGCATGCAACCATCCTCGCAACCATCCCCACATCCACTCTGCCCCGCTCGCTGACGTAACTTGTTGAGCAATACGAATACGATGCTATACGATACGACACGATAGATGAATGTATGGACTTCTGGTTGGTTTTGGATCAGGCCAAAAGCTGTTTCAAGAAATCTTTCAAGAATATTGGTCAAAAAAGCAGAGTAAGGCGAGGGCGAGGGCGATGGCGATGGCGAGGGCAGCAAATAAGGCAAGAAATTAACGAGAGCCGCCGTTGAATAGCCAAACAAATTCAGTAAACAACAAAACTGAAAGAAACAACAAAATCATAACCAGAAATAGCAACAATAAGAAGCTTAAAAACAACAATTAAGAAGTGCCGCTGCCGCTGCAAAAATGTGTGTAAAAAAATGTTTAAGTACCAAAAATTTAATTGCCAAGGCGGCAAATGCCAAGCTAAGAAGAGCAGGGGCACTGGCATGGCCAGGGGTCAGGGGGCTTGGAGCATTATTTCGAGCGTAACGAAGGTCAGCAAAGTGCCTGAAGGTCATAGGCATTTCGACGTTGTCGTCACCTCTGAACCCGCTCGAATTTATTGATTTTACACGCAGCAGCAGCAGCAGCACCAGCCTCAGCAGCACTCAAAAAAAAGAGAGAAAGAAATTGTGCAGACCGACAGGGTGGTAATGGCAATACCCTTACCCAGACCTATTTTTTGATAATTTGTAGTAATCAAGAAATAAACAATAATGATAATTTTGCACTTGGAAATGTCTTCTAAAAAGTAGTCGATTCCATTTATTATGTACCCATTGAGTGAAGAAATGACTAATTTCAGCTACAGAGTAAAGTTTCCCACTAAAACCATACAACCGCCTTCTAGAAAAGGGTACACCACATGCATATTTCTCTTTATGCTCTTTCAATTTACCTTTTATTTATGCATATACCATTGCAGCTGTGTGAGTGGCACACACATAAAAATGTACATATATATATGTATTACCGTATTCCTCCTGCAAGTCAGAGAGCAACTTACATACATATTTATGTACATACATATGTATGCCGCTAGCTGCTGCTGCTGCTGCTCTGGCAGAGAGAGGGGGGGCCCTCAAGTTGTAGTTTTCTGTGTGTGTGGCTTTGGCTTATGCCAAAGGCCAAATGCAAAAACCTGCTTTTTAAAAGCCAAGAAAGAAAACATACAAACATAAAGCAACAACTACTAACGATATAAATCCCCCTCAAACCATGGCCACAAATGTTTAGTTTTTTTTAGTTTTTTCTGCAAGAAAGTTTAATAAACTTGAGCCAAAGATAGACAGGCTTAGATAGACACAGAGACAATAATTAAATCAAATCAAACTGGTCTGTGTTTTATGGAATTCTCGAAATGACTGCTTTATCTAATGGTTCTTTTTTTATCCGTACAAAAATTTAGACAATTTTCAAGCAATTTGTGTTGTTGGTGTCTTATCACTGAAAGAAAAAGAAACGAAAGAAAGAATGTGTGATAAGATGGTTGGAAACAGCAGTGAAATGTGATTCATTTGAGTGATGTATTAGTAAGGAAAGAATGAGTGGAACATTCAAAATTCCAGTCAGTTTTATAGGCTAAAAGCTTACTCTTTACAGAGGCTTCTAAACATGTTAAATATTCGAAAGCATGAATTTGTACGCTTTGATTTCGAATATGACAACAGTTTGGTAACAGTCAAGTAGTCATTCAGCTGATGTGACGGCACATCAACATAATGGAATGCGCAAAGATGACACAGAAGTAAATGGCCAATATTGCTGCCTTGGACCTTGTAATTTTTTCGGATGCAAGTGCACAGCAGGATGTAGATAACCCATGTATGATATTTATTTGTAAGATATGCAAGTTGCAAGCTTTTGATTATTCTAAAGCCACTCATTTTCGTTCTTTGGTTTAACCTTTTACACAAAGCCATGTTCCACACTGTTGGCGCTGAAAAATATCTCCTAATGTTTTTTGCGGTGGATTTCAAGAACCAAAAATTCATACGGCATACGTACTATTATTGGCTCTACTTGTTAGCCTGGATGGAAAACATATTGCAATATTTTCGGATGCAATTGCAAATGAGAATGCAGAGAATACTGCGCTTGCTTAATTTGCTGCAACTGCTCGGCCGAAAGGCAGTTGGATATCTGGCGGCAGATTTGCTGCCGAGCAAACAATAAAATGAGCTTAGAAGGAACTCAAGTAACTTTATCGAATACGGATTCTGTAGTATTTTCGATTGCCATTGTGAAGCAGCATGTAGACATTTACCGCAAAAAACCACAGTGCCAGCTTGACTGCAGTGTGAGTCAAATTTTATAGTAAAAACTCTACAAAAACAGCGTTCCAGTTAAATACTTATTTATGGTGTAAAAAATCCCCTGAAGCACATTTATCACACCTATTTGTCATATACTTCTAAGCCTTTAAGTGATTTATGGCCACTAGAAATATGAAAGAACCTGCCCTGACAGTTATAGAATCACCTAACACAGATTTCTGACAGTATTTACAGTTGCAGTAGCAGTGCACTTGCAGTTACAGTTGTAGGTGAACTTATAATAGTTACAGTTGAAGATGCACTTCGATTAATTACAGCATCGATAGCTTACGCATACAGTTACAGAACCATTGCCCATACAGTTGCAGAATCAATAACCTTTTACAGTTTAACAATCGCTGCCTACTGCAGATGTAGAATCGATTGGCTTTTACGGTTGTAGAAGCACTACCCATGCATTTAAAGAATCAATAACCTCTACAGCCATGGCAGATAGAAAGCCACTTGAGACCCACTGAAATCCCGCAACCCATATTGAAGTTACCCCAACCCACCTTCATTTATCACAGCTAATTGTCGCATATACGACTGGGAACTACAAAACCATTATCAGCAGCAGCAGTAGTCTCTTTTTGCCTTTACTACCATTCCGTGCCTATCTTCCTATCTCTCTCATTTCTCATACCCTATTGACATTACATTTGTTTTTGTTGTATTGTTTGCCTGTGTTTATTCTTTCGACTGTTATTTTGTTCGCTTTTATCAGTTGCTTATCGCAAAAAGCAAATGCAACGCTTAGCCCAACAGTAAATACAGCCTATGTGAGCGCAGTGCCTTTGGAGAAACTCGTTTCTACAATTTCCAATTAGTGCACGAAACAGAATTCCCCCCAGAGTCAACAAAATGTTCTAAAATTTCATTTAAGTAACAGAGAGAAAAAAAACAGTCTTAGAAACTCAGAGGCCACAGACATTGCAGATAGATAACTCTTTTCAAATATTTAATAATCATAAAAAAGGAGTAACCAAAAATTATACAAATATTCCCACCCAGAAGTGCGCGCACGTCTATGCCACTCCACTCTCTTTTCTTCTATTTTTGTGAGACTTTTTCAATTAGTGGATTGCTAATAAAACATAATAAACAAAATAAACTCAAATAAGAGTATATACGGGGAGGAAAGTACATAAGAGTGCAGGACTTGGTAACTATTTATATTGACATATCGGTTCGAATTTACGCTTCAGTTAACAGTTGCAGAAAAGTGGATTTCCCCGCCACAGCAGCATGCTGCCGCATGGAGCTGATTCGACTTTTTATGCCCAGTAGTTGTGTAATTATGGGGTATATTGTGTTGTTTTACATTATGGAAACTATAAAAGTTAGAGAAACTTCTTTGCGTTGTAAACTTCAACTCCCTCCAAGCCTTTTTGTCTGCTTGCTCGTTCCCCAAAATTACCACCCAATAGGTATTCCTTGTTCGCAACAATTTATATGTTATTACTACGTGTTTGTTTGTTCGTTTCACGTGCCTGGTATCCCTGGACCCCGGTCTTCATTTGGTAGAATGCATTTCAACGTCCAACAGCGGCTGGGCGTCATTTTTCAATTGCCTGCGCAACCTGTGTCCCTCCTGCAGTGACTGCTTCAATTGCCACACAGTTGACTCTGACTCCGACTCTGCCACACAGTTGAAGTGGCAGTTTGTCATGAGCAGCAGCAGCAGCAGCAGCAGCAGCAGCAGGCCAGACCATGCCAGGTGTATGTCTGCTCATCGCATTTCCTGTAGCCCAGCTCTCGCGGGGATTGCAATTTGATTTGTGGGCGACCACGGTCTGCTTCGTGGTCTGCTCAGATGTTGAGCCGGCTGCCATGCCTTTCCATGCAGCATGCACCATGCACCATGCACCATGCTCTGCTCCATGGTGGTTATAGTGTGAAGACTTGAGCTAAATTGCCGTGAGAGCCCAGACTTATGAATGAGCTTATTGTGCATTCTTAACAACTTAACTGGGGGGGCCTCTGGCAGGAGGTGCTAGCTGCTGTAATATGTCAACTTGTATCATTAAAAATGCCAGCAACTTGGTGGAAATCCACTCGAGAAGTGAATTAAGATTGTTGGAGATAGCTAAAGGCACTTTGGAGCTCGTTGAAGATCATTTTGGTACGGATTAGGCTTCATTTCTTTCGTTTGA